AATCGTAGTCCTTTAAACATTTCCCGGAGTCGTCTTCATAAATTCCGATAACTCGATAAATTTACATGACCATAGAAAATTCGGTAGCTCAATATACTATACATATACACATTGAAAGTTCCAAAATTTTCAATTCTATAAACCGACCAATTTCGATAACTACCAACATATTTCGATAAATCCATAAATATCCATACCTTGGTAAGTTTAAAGAACTCCATACGTTATGATAACTCGATCAATTTCTTTAACTGGATAAACTTCGATAAACTAAATATCGATAACTTGATAAACTTCATTATATTTACCAATTTCGATAATACGATAAATTTTTATAACTCGATAACTATCGGTAAATTTCGCAACTAAGTTTCTGGGTCTCGATAAGTTTCGATAACTCAATAAACATCGATAACTATAAACTTCGATGACTCGATAAATTGATAACTTTCGATAACTAGATTTTTAATGATTGGATACACATATAGTCTGTTCCTTTGAACTTCGGACTAAAACNTGGATTCTGATCGGAAAATTTCAAAACATTTTCTTGCTCTTTGAGTTACTCTAATTCTTTTGTATGTATGTATGTGTGTATATCGTTACCTTAATTCACAAAGGCCCTAGCTAGCACTTTTTTCGAACCTGACTCACAAATTTTGGTAGGATGTATTGAAATACACCTTCAATAAAAATTTTAAACTGTTAGTACCAAAACAACGAAGTTTCATGCCACTTTTTTAAAAAGCTCCTGCTGTTTTTGATACTCTTTTTGTAATGTTGCTTGTTGGTTAGGACCTTTGTGAATTAAAGTAACGATATGTATGTATATCATTTTCGTGTTTATCTCCAATTTTCCCTTCACTTTTATATCTTCATCTTCAAATTTATCTTTATTAAAAAGTCTAATTTAAAATACGGAGCAAACCAAAATGCGAAAACAACTCAAGTTTGACAGCTTGCAAAAACAACTATACACAAATACAGACATTTTTAAACGACGATTTTAACCTTATTCTTGGTTTCGAATTTGCTTCAGCAGAATCGCCAAACGGACGACCACAAAATTCGTGTTAGCGTATTAATTTATAGATTATTTTTCTTTAAATAAAAACAAGCGCCAATACCTCTTAAATATTTGCCGCGCTATAATACCACACAAATCTTGCCGTCATGTTTTGTCTTATTGTGCGCATTATGTTTTAAGAACCGACAGTGATTTGAGTGCCCACTTAATAGTCTATTAGCCGATGCGTCTACAAAATGGGCAGCTGACCAACTCGCTTTCTCTTCGATTGTACGATTAACACTGGTGTGCTATAATTAACAGGCGGCAAGTGTGTGCCATTTTTACACAAATACAGATGCCTATCAACGTAAAGAGGGTGCTCCAATCACAGCTGTTTTTTTTTTTAAATAAAATAAAACCATATTACGAACTGCTTAGAGAAACTCGTTCAATATAAAAGTCGTTTATTGTGAAAGTGGCATAAGTCATTTTATATCTTGTGTGCTGAAATGATTTGTACATCGTTCTATCGATCATCTTTTTACCCTGTCGCAAAAATCAACCAACAAGATCAACTAATGACAAAACCTTTTACCTTTGATGAATGAAGACGAACGAATTACCGAATAACAGATACAGGTAAATGATCATTTAAGCACAAAAAGTGTGAAATAACTTATGGCATATCGGAGTCCCCATATTTCCATAACTCGACTTCCTAGTCCTCCGTTTAGATTTTTGAAAAGCAACGAAATTTGTAGGGACTCGCATCCAACAATTCTGTGACAATGAAAAATAACGCAGTAGTCTTCGTAAAAGTATCCAATATTTTGGGTTCGTTCGTCTTTTCAGTTTTAGTTTTCAAAGAAAGTATGTAGTTTTGAAATTAAGCATCATACAATTTTTAGATTGACTTGATGTTTCAGATATACTGAAATAGCTAGTGCTTGGTTATTGAAAAAAAAGTGATCGCACTACCTTCTATTTTGAAATCCCCAATTACGATAAGGGATTGTAAATTAAAGTAATAAAAAAACCGTGTGGGGTTCACATCAGTCCGGTTATCACATACATAAGACTATTTTTTTATACATTTCATGAGCATGAAATGGTATTATAACTTTGGTCCGATGTTTGTAAGTACCAGAACAAAAAGAGATAGACCCATTAAAATGTATACTTATATGATCAGAACGTCGAGCTGAGTTGATTTATCTATGTCCGTCTGTCCGTCTGTCCGTCTGTCTGTCTGTTTGTATGCAATCTAGTCTCTCAGTTTTCGAGATATCCGGATCAAATTTGGTAGGTGGGTGTATTTTTATAATGTATTAATCATTTGTCGGAACCGGAAGAATCGGACCACTATAACATATAGCTCCCATACAACTGATTGTTCAGATATGAGATTTTTCATTATAACTTCTCCATTTATGCAGCTACGAACATGAAATTTTGCAATACTTGCACCCATTATCAACAGAATACTTACAGTGAAAATTACAAAGATCGGGTCACTATAACCTATAGCTCCCATACAACTGATTGTTCAGATATAAAATTTTGCGTTATAACTCCTCCATTTATATAGCTAGGAACATGAAATTCCGCACTGTTTTCAATAATTATCAACAGAAAACTTACAGTGAAAATTAAAAAGATCGGGTAACTATAACCTATAGCTCCCATACAACTGATTGTTCAGATATGAGATTTTTCGTTATAATTCATCCATTTATGTAGCTAGGACCATGAAATTTCGCGCTGTTTTCACTCATTATCAACAGAAGACTTACAGTGAAAATAACAAAGATCGGGTCACTATAACCTGCAGCCCCCATACAACTGATTGTTCAGATATGAGGTCTTTTATCATAACTCCTCCATTTATGCAGCTAGGAACATGAAATTTCGCACCATTTTCACTCATTATTTACAGAATACTTACAGTGAAAATAACAAGGATCGGATGACTACAACATATATCTTCCATACATCTGATTGTTCAGATATGGGATTTTACTGTAAAACTCCTTTATTTGAACAGCTAAAACCGATAAATTTCGTAAGATATTTTATAAATAATAATACAAAGTCTACTGAGAAAATCGTCAAAATCTATGCTGTATAAGCTTTATCTCCTATAGCACTGATTGTTCAGATACCAGTTTTTGCGATATATCTCCTTTATGTAGGAAACTAAACCCAATAAATTGTGTTACCGGTTTACATACCGATCACATAGCAGTGAAAATCACTTAGATTGGTGCCATATAAAGTATATCTTCCATACCTCTGATTGTTTAGATGCGATTTTTTATATAAGTATGTAACTCCTCTATCGATGTATGCAGATGTATTCAAAAGCAGTAATCTGTCAAAGTAAAATTTTCAGATGTTCATGAAAGGTATGAAGTTTACAACAATAAAATAACTAAAAAAAAATGTCAACCAGATAACCAAGCAAGTGTGAAGATCCTCAGTATATTTTTTTTATCAAAGATATAAAGAAAGATTTCTATGATGAAAAAATTCTATGATGCGTTATTTTTTGTGGTTTAAGAGACTCAGAAATTTTATTGCGGTTGTCTTGGGACTTTTCGACATTTATAATGGATTATTCGGGACTTTTTCGGTGGCTGTGGGGGTTTTGAGATTTTTAGAAATCGATACGGCATTTGCTTGGGATGTTTTCGAAATTTTTTTCTGAATCTTTAAATTTTGTTCCCTGATTTTGTGTTTTATTTGGTATTATCAGTATTTTTTATTTTTGAATTTTTGGGTTCAACAGTTGCAGACAATTTTGATTGAATTTTTCGAGACCTTTATGGTTTTTAATGGACTATTCGGGATTTTTCGGTGGCTTGGTGGTTTTCGAGATTTTTAGAAATTTACGCGATATTTGCTTGGAATGTTTTCGGTGTTTTTCGAATTTTTTCTAGACCTTTCAGTATTTTTCCAGATTTTGTATTTTGTTTAGCATTTTGCAGTTTTTTTTGGGAATTTCTAGGTTCAACAGTACGTACATTTAAATCTTGACTTTGCCTTTAAGGAATATCTAAATTGCCGTAATAATGTCAGCCTTACAATACAAAGCAAAATGGTAAGCATGTCTGTAGTAGTTGCCTCCATAGAGAATATTCGGGGCAATCACCGAATCCGTCGTAGTCCGAAAATGCGATCACTGCATCCGAATCGCTACGAGGGGACGCATTCAAACTATATGCTATGTTCGCAGCTATCCGAAATCAGTGATCGAATTTTCGTATATCTTAAAAATATTTGAAACATTCATTTATTAGTATTTATTTAACTTCTCTTCGAAACCACTTACTTAACACCACTTCCACTGCTTTCGTTAAGTCTCTTCAAAGCATCGTTTGGTTGAAATTCCTGCCGCTTCACACATTTCGTTGCGGATTTTGAACGCAGTCCGCGAGTTATGATCGAATAATTGTGCTTAGCTGAAATGTAAAAATGTTCTGCTGCTGTTGTGTGGTTGTCATTTTTGGTAAATGTAGAATTGTGTCAGCGTGTCAGCGGCGACAGCGTTGTAAGCCGCGTGAAACATTTTGTTTATCGGCGCAGCGTATTCGACACGTTTTGCTTGCAGTTTCTACTACACTCTATTATTAAATTATACCTATATGTATATTTTTTTCATTGTTCTCGTGCGTCTTTGCCCGTTCGCTGGCGTTGCGATGATCGCCAGTCAGCTTCTTTGTCGTTGTTGTCTCCCGGCCAAGCGCAAAGCAATTTTATATTTGAAATATTTGTTTTTATAGCGTTCAGCTGGTTTTTCGTCATTACAAAAACAAAAACAAAACGTCTAATATGATTTGTTAAACTGTTGTTCGGGGGCTCTTTTTTTATAATTAATTTGCGCCAATGTGATTTGCGGCAGTTTTGATTTTTTTTCTCGCAGCTGCGAAAGTGAAAATTTCCCGTACTCGTTTAACAAGTTTAAGTGTATTTATTGTGCGAAAATATAATGATGCATTCACTGGTTACAGGTTGCGATGATGCCTCAGATTGTACCTCCTATTATGCGGAATATGATCCATTCGATTATCTCTATAGTGGCGGAGGCACACAGTACTCGGATCCCGTTTACGAGGCGGTGAATAAGTTGGAGAAGAGCGCTGTGAGTCCAAATGGTAAGTGAAATAAAGAGTAAATTATTAGGAGTACTCTGTTAAGCTCAAAAAATCGTTCCCCTTCTTTTCCGATAGTCTCCTCCATTGGTTGGCGCACGGATTACCTCAGCCACGATGAAGTACTCGCCACCGATCTAACTGCTACTAGCAGCGCTAACGCCTCAACACACTATCAGCTCGATGATCAATCACCAAGCGGTTCACGCTCACCGCCTCCACCGCTGCCGCCACGCAATACTGGCTCTCGCTCCCCACCCTTTCTACCTGGTCTCTATCCAACGCTCAAACATGAAAATAGTGTGGAAGGCAGCAGTGGTGTGGGCGTGGGCGCGGTCGCTGGCAGTTCCTTCTCCACTTCCAGCTCATTCATACGGCCTAGCGCAACGCTGGATCGTCGAAAAACTGCTGCCGGAACGCGCCTCTATGAAGTGGTAACGGATCGCCGCACCGTCGATCCGGAGCTACTGGAATTCTTCTTCATGGTTAAGGAGTTGCGTATGCGCTATTTATACAATGATACGTATACGAATCCGGGTCATGTAATTGCTTCGGAATTTAATTATCATTATCCGCTTGAGACGAGCATCAAGATTTTGGTGCATCCTGCGCTGAAGGCACTGCTTTCCCATGCGGATATGGCGCGTACACAAGGGCAGGTGAAGGGGTATGGCGTGCCGGTGGTGTTTACATGTGATAGTAAGTTTACTTGTTATTGTTTTATTGCGGCGATTACCCTAAAATATGTTTGCACGTTTTTCTTTTAGTCAATACGGCTGTGGAATTGGTTATTGATCAAGCATTTTGTTCGCTGGAGGGTATTATTAAAGGCACTCCTAATGATTATGTGGTAAAGGTAAGCGCGGAAGATAGATAAATCACACCTACATATCATTACATTAATATAGATAGGCCCTATATATGCACAAATGAAATATCGAAAAAGGCTTGTTTTGATAATTGGGTGCTATAGTTAATTAGGCAGACATTAGAAGCTCTTCATACGACTAGTAAACCTACGACTACTATCATAAGGTCCAATAGATTCTAACCGACAAAGTCATTGGTCTCATTAAGACAGAAATGAAGGTAGAAAAGCATTTTGATGCGTTGGAGCCAAAATAATGCCTATTCAACGAAAAAGACATGAATTATTTATTGGCTGGTCGAATAGGCTTGCCGGAATCTGAAACACACGCAGAAAAAAAACTGAAAATGTACCTTAACATCTACTACATTCCGCTAAATTTTAAGGCTGAAGAGGCGAGTTGATGGACTTGCCAAGTTTCCCAACCTCAAATTACATAGTGAAAGCTTTGATTGAGGGTAAGTGTTAACATCTGGCACGAGTTAATTTGGCCAATCACGCGAACCCCCACTTAGTCGATCTTAAATTGAAGAGAATCGTTAAACCATAACAGTCGGATGAAATGGGAAAAACAGTTGAAGCCTTGCAGCTTCGCGTCTGGTGTAAGCGAATTCTGGTTGATGTTGAGAACTCTGTCGAACTAGTGAAATATACTGTCTAGATACGAAAACAATATGCCGAATAAACTTCATCCGATTCGGAGAAACGTGCCAACTTATTTCACCAAAACAATTTCAAACGTCGAATCGCTAAATTTTAAAACTACAGCGTCCAACATTTTGTACCAGCGACGAAATGTGAGTAAACTATAAAAAACTATAATCTCCAAAACCATTGGCTTGCTTGGACTGAGTATGAAGGCCGATGCTTAAACAGCTTTGCCACAGCGCACAATGTTTCGACTATATGGAGGCAAGTGGAGACAATAGTTAACGTGGACCTATTTCGCTGAAACTTAACATGTACTCTAAGTTTACTTAGGAAGAGGTAATTATGCAGTTTGTTAGAGATGGGATAATTGCCACGCCCTCCACCATTCGGGGCGGAAACATTAAATTTTCCTAATAATTTTTAGCATCTAAATTTTGCAAGTAAATTGTTTAATAAAAAAAAAAGAGGAAAATACCGAATGATTGATAAATACCTTCACCTGAATATTCCATGGAACTTAAAGAACTGATAACTGTTGAAAAAGAAACACTTCCTTTAATGAGTTCAGCGCCAAATCCAACTAAACTGATTAGTCGATATCGCGTCGATTCTAGTATTTCCTTGGAAATTTACCGTTCGTAGAGAGGCAGGGTGGGTAAAAGGGATGTGAAAGTTTGCATGACTATGCACTCTGATTATTCCAGCAGCGGCATTTCTTTCTCTGCCTCTCCGCCTTTGGGTATTATCTACATAGCTGCATGGCCTCCAAGTCAACTCCCTGCGATGCCATTTTATCTTCCACTTATATTTCTTCATCTTTAGTCAGACTTCCGTTTTAATGATCTATTAAATTAAACAACATCTTTTGTATGCTCTTTCCAGCCCATCGGCGTCTCTGAATGGCTATCACCCACATCGAAACTCAGTCAGCTGGAATGTGTGCATAACAGCCTAAAGCTGGAGCAGGACGTGCAATTGGGTTTGTGCGTTAAATCCGAGGAGAATATGCAAGTGATAGCTCGTACGCAGTGTGATGATCTGCGTGATGTTGATTTACGAGCAGAAGATATTTTGCCCAACGAAATGGCAACGACCATCAATTATGATAATATGATGATACTGATAGGTATGTACATATTTAATGCAAGATTTGGCACCAAAGCTCAAATGAAAAGAAGCTGTGACTTTTTCTGATTCGTCCAAGCCATTTTTTGTAGAGATAGAATGGTCAATACGTAAATAATATTTAATATCTTTAAATACAAATTTGAACAAATTCAGAATTTTCTTCCTCCCCACAGAAACACTTGAAACAGAGATTGATAAATTAGAGTCAGCGGATCCGAATTCACGCTCCATACTTTCATGCTCGGGCGTTGTGCAGGCAGTTAAGGCTATTTGCGCGTTACTCGGTTCGATAGATACACTTGAAATCACTGCCTGCATCGCCGATCTCAAACGCATATGCGAGGAGGGTCAAGTGAAGTATGCTGCGCATAGCACGGAAACCAATCCGGAGATCGTGAGCGAACGTGGCGATTATGCAGAGGTGCGTTTGGTGCCACGGCCCAAGCTAGATCAGATTAAGCTGAAATGTAGTCAGTTGCGCGATGCCGTGCAGGAGTTAATTGAACTCTACTCAAATGTATTCCGTGTGGGATTCTCTGTTAAATCTCCAGATTATTCGACCAGTAAGTTTGCACCAAATTAATTGTACAGACTTGTGTGTCTTATTCTCTTCTTATCCTTGCCTCATAGCACCCATACCGGTTTCGTGTGTACTAAAACCAATTGTCGTTAGCATCAATTGTCTGCATCGGCCGCCACCAACTTGGCGCTACGACGACTACTCGCTGGGCGTGCAAATCAACTATGGCACTCGCTTTGTATCCGATCCGATAGTCACTAAGTGTTCGAATGACATGAGTGGTGGACTCTTTCCCCGCTTGAATTTCTCTTCATGGCTGACTTTCGAAAAGAATCCAATTTGCACGCTACCACGAGAATCGCGCCTAATATTTGTGCTCTACGGCACACAAACGACCGAAAATGAGCAAAACACAGATGCTAATGGTGAACGTCGCTCGGTGGCCACCGAATTAGGCTGGTGCGCCATACAATTGTTTGATCAGAAGCGTGAAATGATTTGCGGCTCCTATTTGCTTTCGATGTGGCCGCCAACAACGGATAAGTTCTTAGGTCCGGCGCCTGCACGCGGTTGTCATCCACAGCCAGATATCTGCCCGGTGTTAAGCATAGAAGTACCGCCTTACGGTGGCCGCATACTATTCCCCGAGCCGTTGGAACAGCCACCGCCAGCACCGCGTTACGATTTCAATTCGCTGGACGCTAATTTGCAGCAGGAACTGCTAGACACTGCCGAGCAGGGTTATTCGGGCGCTAAGGATAAACGCGAGGTATTTTGGGAAAAACGGTTGTATTTGCAGAGCTTTCCCTATGCATTGCCGAAAGTGCTTCACGCCGCGCACAGCTGGGACTATGCCAGCCTTATGGATCTCCATTCATTGTTGCATTCTTGGGCGCCGTTGTCGCCACTGCAAGCGCTGGAATTGCTGCTACCGCGTTATCCTGACGCCAAAGTGCGTGAGAAGGCGGTCGAGTGGATTTCGCAACTGCCGAATGATCAGCTGGTCGATTATCTGCCGCAATTGCTGCAGGCGCTCAAGCACGATACCTACGAAGCATCGGCAATGGCCCGCTTCTTGCTCTGCAAGTGTTTGGAATCGCCGCGCATAGCCCACCACTTGTACTGGCTCTTGGTACACAGTTTGCCAGGCGATGATCCACAGAATTCAATCGATGCCTCATCGGTGGCGAGTGAAATTGATGAGTCGCTAATAACGCAGGCGCGCTACTATAGGCGCAACAAGATGATGCTTCGCGCGCTGCTGGCGGTGTGTGGCGAGCGGCTGTTGGCGCGCTTTCTCAGTCAAAATATGATGTGCAAGGTAAGAGCACAGGGAAGAGCGAGTT